TGTGGGGACAGCACTCTCTTCAAGCCGTGGCACAGCCCGGGTTTAGCCCATGCCTTGGCAAAGCCTTGCAGCACAGCCTTGTCCCTCCCTGACCCTGTCCCGCTCCCCTGGGAAGGATACGAAGATGTAATCGTCCATGAAACGCTTCTTGAGGTTCTCCACGATGGCCTCCTCGGAGATCTTGGAGAGCAGGACCATGTCGTCCACGCCGCTCTGCTTGACATTGTGGCTCTGCCAGTGGAAGCGCTCCTTGCTGCCCTGCGGGGAGAGGGCCACAGCGACTGCCCCGGGGCCACCACCGATGGGAGCGGGGCTCTGGGCCTGGATCTGGCCCCGGCTCCCCCTGAGCTGCTGGTAGCTGTGACTGGCCTCTGCCCCAGCTGTGGCTCCAAAACAGGCACCTTCAGGTCGTGCAAAGGGGGGTTTTGGCCACGCTGGGAACTTGCAAAGCTCAAAATCCCAGCGCTGCTGCACCTGGGCTGCCCCATCCCTCTGGCTGGATCCTGCCTCACCGCAGGGCTGGCACCCCAGAGAGGAGCAGAAGGGGCACCGACGGCCTGCGGGCATGTTTGTAACATCACCACGAAGGACTAAGGAAGCAATTACTCCACTGGCTCTGCTTATGAGTCAAAGGGGCAGCAAAAATAACGCAGGGGAAGAGCAAAAATTGTGGCTGGTGGGGGCATCCCCGGCACTGCACATCCTCTGCGCCCCCACATCCTCTTTGCACCGGGGCAGCGGTGTGACTGTGCCCCCATCACCCTTTCCTCCCTGCCCAGGGAGATGCCAACACCTGCTTTCCAGCCGCCCCCCTAACTCCTTTGGGTCTGTCCTCTGGGGGCTGTGGGGCAGCAGGAAAACTGGGGGCTGTGATTTAAGCCCTTGCGGGGGCTAAACACAGCCCTGGGCTGGGAGGGGAGGGGAAGGTTTCACTGTGCAAATAGAAAACCACCCACAGGCCCCTCGTTCTCGCTGCTGCAGAGGAAATCTGCTGAACACGGCTGCAGTGCCCGTGTGGCCCCCGGTGTGCTGCCCGGGAGGGGACACCCCATCTGGACCTGCCTGCAGCTCCTCTGTGCCCGTCCCGCAGCCCCCGCCGTTCCGCTTTCACCCCAGCACTCCCAGCACCGATTTCACTTCTCCTCCCTCTATCGCCCCCGGCCTCTTTCTATTTCCCTTTTCTTCTCTTCCCCTTTTGCTTCATTTTCCTGCTGGTCTTCAAGATTTCAGGCCTTTGCACCTTCCCGTCGGCCCCTGATTTTCGCCAGCTGCCCGCAGCCCCCCTGCACCCACCCTCGGGTGCTCGGCACAACCCGGCACCACCGCGATGGAGGACAGAGGGACCATCATGGAGCGCAGAGGAGCTCGGCAGCATCGTGCTGCTCCCCTCAGCCGCCTCCCTCCCCGCTGGGCTTTGCAACCCAAAATACCACGCCTGCCCCTGCAAACCCCAGGTGCAACTCAAGCCCCCGTAGTGGAGGGGCTTTTGGCTCTGTTGTCACACCACCTTCCCTTGGGGTGCATGAGCCTGGGTCAGCTAAGGGGGTCCAGGGGAAATTGGGGATGTTCATGCAGCCTGAAGCTGTGTGGGGAGCTTCTCTTTTTCCTCCTCTTTGTTGCTTATGGGTCTTTTTCTTGCCTTCCCCTCCTCTTCCTCCTCTCCATCCTAATAAGCCCCTAGAAATGCGACTCGGAAAAACACAAGCAGGCTCAGTCATCCATTGCAGGTCACCGTGCTGCCACCCAGGGAGCTGTCGGTGACCCCAGGAGCTGCCCAGCTTCACTCCAACCTCGCCAAAACCTTGTGCTCCTGGTGGAGAGGAGCAGGTTGCGAGCAGCCTGCGGGGAGCCCCACAGCTCGGAACCGCCGTCCCCTGTCTCCATCACCCTGAGCCCTCCGGCGCAGGCACCCTGGGCTCGCACGGCTGGTTATGGCACCAAATTAAGGCAAATATGAGCATTTCCTGTATTGCAAGCTCGGCGCTTTTGGTCTGACACATGGAGTTTCTCCTTCAGTCAAACAACTGCTCAGAGGCGAGCGCGTGCCTTCACGGCACCTCCTCTTCCCCCGGGCACAGGTTAGGCGCTTTCCTGGCTCGGCCAGGGCACCTGACGCAGCACAGCTGCAGGGAAAACACCAGCTCACTTTAAATGAAGGTTTTGTCCCAGATCACTGCGAGGCCGTGGGTGATTCTGCCCCGTTTCTGGGAGCACCAAGTCTGCCTGGCTTTCCTCAGCACGTCCCGAGAGGCGGCACAGGGGGTTCACGGGGCCAGGGCCCACTAAGCTGGGTAAAAGTGTTGTGGAGAGGATGGAGAGGAAAGATGCTGCCGCAAAACTGCCCAAGCTCAGCGCCCAGAGAGCCCTCATGGGTCAGGAGCTGCAGGCAGCATCCCTGCGGGGAGCGGGGGCACAAACTGAATTTGCTTTCAGAGGTTTGGGGCAGCGGTTCCTCAGTCCCCTCCTCTGTCCCAGGCCAAAGCGAGGGATGAGCCAGGGAGCAGCGGCTCAACAGCTGCCGCCACGAGGGTCCTCACAGAAGGGGAGTGACGGGCAGCCTGGGCCAAACGCCCCTGTGAGGCCACTTCATCCTCAACCTGAGCGGGGAGCAGCTTTCGGCTTTGCACAAGGGACTTTGCTCTGACGGTGGGCCCCATGCACGATGGATGCATGTGTGGGGAGCCCCAACAGGACCCCCCAGGAGCGCCCCAGCCGAGGGCTGCGCGATGGGGACTGTCACCCTCGCAGCCACCGCCTGTGTTCGGGGCTGCGGATGCACCCGGTGCTCGTGATAGGATCGCTGAGGCAGGGAGGGGAGCGGCCCTGCGGCAGCAATTGCAAAACATCATCTGTTTTTCTTCAAAGCTCAAGTCTGAGCCACCGAAAAACAACCCTGCTAGCCCCAAGAGGGGAGCAGACACAGCCCAAGGTGGCACCTTTTGTCTCGAGATATAGCCCAGATGCAGCCAACACCTTAAAACCACAGGAAGCCTTGAGGAGAGCGGTATGGGGTGTCACATCGCTGTCACAACCCTGCCGGGTCCCAGGCACAGTCAGGTTTTGGGGTCGGGGCGTTTCCCCCAGTATTTTGGGGCTGGCAGGGTCAGGTCATGGCTGTGCAACCCCACCGTCCTTCACAAAGCCACAAAACGTCTTCAGGCTTTGGGTGGTGGTGGGGACAGTGTTTGCAGCTTGTGGGGTGACAGCATCTGAGCGGCCTCTCAGAGGTGGCAACCGCAACTGTGGGTGGGAGAAAGCTCTCTTTCAGCCTGGCCACTGTCCCCTTCCTGACTGGGTGGAAATGTCTGGGGATAGCATCACTCCGAGACACGGAGGGAGCAGAGCCATGGGCTGAAGGATGTGGTTGCAGCCACATTGTGCAGACCTAAGGGTCTGACTGAGCATCTCCCTAATTTTGAGAGCTTTCGTCTTCCTCTTCTGCCTCCAGATCAAATTCCAGCTCTGGCCACTGCCCTTTCAGCAGCCCTGTGTCCTGTTCCCTCTACGCGCCAGGGTTCAAGGTCCCACCCTGGGCACTGACTCAAGCTCAAGCTTCCTGGGTTGAGCTGGCCTGGGGGGTCCAGCTGCCCCCGGCAGCCCCTGCCACCCCACTGAACTCTGCCCACACCACGCTCTGCCCACAACCTGCCGGCACCGCGAGCGCTGAAACCAGAAGCGCTGGTGGGAAGTTGGGCCAAGAGGAACCCAAGGGTTCTCCTGTGGGTACCACACCGGCAGCAGCAAAATCAAAGCCACTTTTTGTCAGCCCAGCCTCACTGCCTGATGCCCTCCATCCTGCTCGGGTCAGCGCTCTCAGGAGCACCGACCTTGCGCCCAGCACCCAGCTCCCATCCCTGGCTGCTCCCCACCACTGTGCCTTGCACCGCTGCTTCACCCAGCCCCAGCTCTGCTCCCGTGCCCAAACCTGGGCAGCACCATCCCCTCTCCAGTGGGGACAGTGGGCAGGCTCCTGGCACCTCCCAGAAAGCAGCAAGGGACCACGATGGGTGCAAGAGCGGACAGGGCTGAGAGAGCCCTGAGGAGGCAGGAAGAGAGGGTGATGTCCCCAGGGTGCCCGAAGGAGATGGGGTGGGGGGAGCCCAGCGAGGGCCCCGCTTGCACTCACCATGGTGTCCCTGCGTCTTGCCCCCGGGGACGGGGCACTCGGGGCTCCTGTCACCGAGGGCCCAGGGCCATCCCGAAGCACTTTGCTTTTGTGTTCCTGCTGCAACTAGAAATTGCAACTTGATTTTTTTTTTTTTCTCATTTTCCTCCTCCCACTTCCTCATTTCTTACCGGTTTGCAGGGGGTGGGGAGGACGAGGGTGGATCTTTGCTGCCGGGGGTGTGGGGGTGGCTTGGGGTGGCCCTGCCCAGGGTGACCCCATCTCTGCTGCGAGAAGGATGCTGCTGGTGCTGGGGACCTGGGGAAGCAGGTGGATGCTGGGTAGAGTCTGGCAGGGAT